TGCCATCCAACCAACCAATATTCTCCAGCTCCCCCAATGGTGCAGAGCCCTACAGGCTGCCACACCCCCCGGGCACAGATCCCAGCTCACAGAGCTCTTACAGGAACTCTGGCCCGAGATTACAGCAGACCAAAGGGATGCTGAGGAGGACAAAACATGGTTCTATAATCACTGCACCTCCAAAGAAACCCTGGCCCTGCAAGGGTTGTTAAACAACTAATTGCAGTAGAATTTGACTCTGGATGTTCTTCCTGGAGAGACTGGAAGATAAATCTGCCCCTCCTGTTTTAAGGGCCACGGCAAGTGTGATCTATTTTTCTTTCTCTCCTCTTAGGGCACTATTGTGATGACAAATATAACCTCTGTGATGTTTGACAAAAATGAGTGGGAAACCCCCGACACTTTCAACCCGCAGCATTTCCTGAAGGACGGGAAGTTCTGGAAAAGGGAATCATTTCTGGCATTTTCTATTGGTAGGATGTGCTGAATTGTGCTGAGGCACGGGCCTTTGGGTTTCCAACTGCATGATGGAGATAGAGAAGAAAATAGTGATGGAAATGGCAGATGCACCCAGGAGATGCCGCTCTAACAGTGGCCATTTGATCATCCCAAAGCAGCACAACCACTCTCAGAGCCTGCTCTTGTCTCTCTTTTTAAATGCAAAGAAGGGAGATAAGGATGAAGAAAAATCCCTTGTAATTCCAGATACCCCAGGAACACCTGCACCAGGGCAGGAGCATCGCTCTGTGCTGCTGCTCCCACATGGCTGAGTTCACTGGGGCCTCACTGATGCCACCCCAGGCTACCCCAGCCAGCAGCTTCCCTGGGGAGGTGGCTTTTAGCACCCCTGTTTCCCATGCCAGCATCACACACCTTCTCAGTTTGGGCTGCAAAACTCATCCTGGGAAGGGATCAGGGACCATGGTCCTAAGGGAAGGCAGAATCACTTCCGTCAGTAAAAGCTCAGTCTGAGGATGCCGTGGGTTGTTGTCTCCGCAGGGAAGCGCGCCTGCCTGGGCGAGTTGCTCGCCCGCTCCGAGCTCTTCCTCTTCTTCACGTCTCTGCTCCAGAAATTCACCTTCCAGGCACCCCCGGACACCACGCTCAGCCTCCAGTGCGTGATGGGCATCACGATGGCCCCGCAGCCATACAAGATCTGCGCTGTGCCTCGGTAGGGCAGCCTTGGCTGCCGTCCTCACAGGGAAAATCAGTTCTCAGAAATGGTGAAAACAAGCCCTCAACAGCTTGTCTCTGCTAATGAAATAAAAAGCAGAAAAGCTGCAAAAAAATAGTCCTTCTCTTGCTGGAGAGCACTTTATCTAAAGCCCAAGGGAAGCAGAAGCAGCACAGAGTGTTGGAAGGGTCATGCCTATGGCGCTCACCACTAGCTGTCAGGAAGGAAGTGGCTTTGTGGTGAGAAGACACCAGTTCAACACGTCCCTTCTCATTGTGCCAAAGATTTGGGGCTGTGCAAGATGGGCATGGACACAACGTGGGGACGAGGAAGTGGGTAGGGAAGTGGCCCCCTCGGTGAGGGACACACTGCTCCTGCCCATCCCAGCTCCCTTTGGATAAGAGTTCAGTAAACATACAACTTACTGTAAAGAGCTTTTCCATTTCCATGGCCAAGTATTTATGCTTAGAGATGCTGTCTCCTGGCTGCTTCTGTCTGCAGTGGAGTCCCAGCAAAGATTGTTCTTTTTTCTCTTTCTTTGGCTTCTCACCTTTCATAAAAGACTTCAATAGGCACTACGTAGGACACAGAAGAGTTAAGAGGAAAAGAGGATTACATTGAGTTCCATTTCCGCTGGTTTCCTCCTACATCCCTGGCAATAACCACTTTGCTGCAGTACAAAGCAATCACTGTGCAGTGGCAGATTTATGCCACAGGGGAGAGTCCTCTGCTCATCACATCCCTGCCACACTGGGCACACAGGGATTCTGTCCCTGAGCTGGCCTTCCAACTCATCATGTGAAGCTGACTGCGTTTTTAATTAATGTTTAGCAGTCACAGGCTCACAAGTTGTGTTGTCCCTCTCCAAGGTCGGGAAATTCAGCATAGCCTTTTGCCATGTACTTTGCCTTCTCAACACCTGCCCCAGCTCTGAGGGGCTTTGGGAACGGCTCCACCAGGGGCTACACACCCAAAAGGACAAGGGATGTCTGCTTTGGCATGGCTGGAGGGCTCGGGCAAGGCCACCCTCACGGCCAGAGCAGGTTGTTCTGCTTGCACTGGTCCCGTGGGGATCAGAAAATGACGGTGCCTCGGAACCGCTGCAGAGCCTGGATGGCTCTTTGCTCGCAGCCCACGTCACTCTGAAACACAGAACCCGGAAGGAATCAGTCAGAGGGTTTGGGAAAGGTTTGTGCAACTTTATCTCGGATGCCCCCGGCAACCTGGGGCTTAGTCTGGGACTCTTCAGAGCAGCAAACGAGCTGCTGCAGACGAGGAAAGCTCGGGGCACTCGGAGCGGCTGGAGCCTGCCCGGCACCGTGGAGCTGACACCGGGACACGGCACAGTGAGGGCACCGCGGGCATGAGAGAGCAGGGCTGGGGCTGAGCCAGCGGCTTTGGGAACAGCGCAGCGAAGCTGCCGGAAGGTTTTAATCTTGATCCCG